GCTTGTCAGTCAGCTGTTGATGGAGTCGGGATTGCTTTGTATAGAAAGATGTCATTACAGTCCGGCCACAAATTGTTTAAGACCCCCTGATAAAGTCGGTAAAATGATTAACTGGTCTGATTGAGCCATTAGCAGCACTAGGACGGTCGTTAAATATATGTTAGGTCGTCCTGGACACATTCGAGGAACACAGTAACGCAATGCTAGGGGTAGGGATTGCGTCTCAATATGACCAGCAACTACCCTTCAGAGGACATGCGATATTCTTGACTAGCGCTTTTTCAATATGCAACTGCTAAGCAAATACCCCTTCCACTCAAATCCTTTCTTGCAAACGATTACTGTACAATCATCCGAAGATATGATATCGACCGCTTCAAGGGTACAGAACGTCTTGACAAGCGGTTCTGATTATAGTTCCGACTTTTCCTGCATAAATGCGCGCGCGTAAATAAGACCGACTGTAGCTGAGTTGACCCCTAGGGCTGCCTAAGAATTTTCTTTACTGGCGGGCCAAACCTGAAAAAGATGGCTGCAGACGGTAAAGTTAGGATTCACGTCTGACACTTTCTAAATTTTAACAACACTTAGCCTACATTCAATTATATACGTTGATTTATTTTTATATTTGAGGACTTTAACTATAGTGAAATGGCCGCCAGTGGACTACTTTAGCATCTTTTTGAAGGGAATAAGCGCCGCTCAAAGTGCACAAAACATTTGTTTAGAATTGTTCATATTGGCAGCGGCTGCAAGTTGCGACCACGTTGTTGGATTTAAACCCGTTCGGTATGGCACAGGTATGCGTACGACCTTAATTACATTCCCACATAGGTATCTACTTACTTCGTTTAGGTAGCTTGAACTACGTTCATAAAATTGTCCTGTGCCATTGCTGTTAGCAGCGACCTTTCCTAAGTTGGCTTTCTACCAATGGACAACAAAGTCTGTCATTGAGTAAAAGTGTACTTCTTGGTCGCTCGTCAGTCTTTCGCTAGTCAACGACCGGTTCATTTGAAAGTAGCCGCTGTCCTTTTACCATGCCTCCGCCAATGTCAGGAGAAAATCACCTTCGTTTTACTTAATACGGCCATTCTGCCTCAGATTGTGGATCCTGTCCTTGGTGTTTAGACCTCATTTAATCGTTTCCGCTGATTTCGTTGCCTTCAGACAGTTTTCTATTAGTTTCCGATATGATCGTCTGGAAGCGTTCGTTTCCATTGGTCTTTATTGCAGCTTATTTCAACAACCCACAAAAATGTCCTTACAGCCCTGACCACTTAAGTTATATTCTGGCTGTCGGTGGGCCATACTGTCAATGCTACTTCCGACTTCGTACTGCGAATTTATTAAGGTTAGCACCTCGTCCATCAGTCAGTTTTCGGTTAACCATAAACCACGTTGGCTATTGATTACATATACCATTAGCGTAAGCAGGGTTGGCCGACTCCAGTTCCATTCGTGCTGACGCGCTCATTGACGGCTCCCTTATTTTGGGCTACGTATATCTCCTGGGTTTGAAGAAGTGCGCCTAACAATAACACGGCATCGTTGTGAACTTCTTGATTTTTAACCCGCCCTAGGCTGGTGCATAGACCTGGTCGTTTCGCGCACACACGTCCAACAGTGACCGAGTGAGCGTTTTAAATTCCCGATCATCTTGGCGTCATGTTCACATGGCCAACCTTTCCCGACAACCTCCGACACGGCCAGTGAGCGCTGCGCTCATAATGTGCAAAATACTCCGTTGTAGAGTCGTCGTTTTTCCGCGATTACGGTATTTTTGGTATCTAATTAGACAAATCACCATCCGTGGGGCGTTTGAGGGCTACTTTAATTCTTGGCGTAGTTTGTGTACCCTCTGCATTTTGTCATCCTTGGCTCTGGTCGCCTTCATCTCTTTGCAACAGATATTGTTCGATCAGTGCAGACACCCAGTAGCCTAGGCTGTCCTCTCTGACTGCATTCTACTGAAGCCTTCGTTTCCGAGGAAGAGAAAAATTATGTAGAGTGGGAAACGACTACACTTTCTACAGTTAAACGTGTAGATAGTGGATGGAGGGATAAGCCGTTATTTTATTCCTACTTGATGGGGTTTTTTTAGTGCTGGCCGGATATGTGTTTAACGCTTCCCTGACGATGCCTGTGAACTGGCATTAAATACCATTATTATTATTATTATTATTAATATTAAGAACGGTTGAATCGCTCCACGATTTATTTCATACGATTGATCTGGTCAAAATACTTGGTCACATACCACTGAATACGTTGCAAATTCTTTCCCTTATTAATGGGAGTCGACAAGACTCCTTCAGGACCATGTTCAAAAAGCATGTCACCATTCGAACTCCGACAACGCCGCAATGTGACCAATGAAGTAGCCACTAGAATACCGGTACAGAGTGAGCAGACTGAAATAAATGAAGGAGTAGACATAAGTCGTAATACAAATGACTGCGCGACTGTGTGTATTTCCATCAAATCAACTCCCTCCAAGCACACTGTCTTGCAGGAGTCTTGTCAACTTATTTTATTAACGAAAGAATGTGCAAAGTATTCAGTGGCAGGGGAACAGGTATTTTGACCAGATCAGCAGTATGACATAAAAGGTGGAGAGACTCATCCGTATTTAATAATAATAATAATCATAATAAAAAAATAATAAGAATAATAATAGTAATAATTTTATTCATTGCCAGTTTACAGGCATTGTCGGGAAAGCGTTAAACACAAATCTGGCCATCAGTGAAAAAAACTCCGGCGGAAAAGGGATAAAAATATAGTTGATGATGGTTTTTATGGTTTGGAGGGTTCAGGAGAAGAAAAAACTGCTGCCCATAAAATGCCGATAGAAAAGAAAGGGAGGGGTAGCACTGTATCGGATAGTGTCAGTCGCCAATTCTCTTCACGAAGTTGTGGCTGGTTCGAGTAGAAGCATCAAAGAACAGCTGTCGCTGTTGGCTAAAGAAATTGTCCCTGGTGAGACTGCCTATAGAGATCAGAGGCCATAAACGCCGTCGCTACGGTATGGTCGATCAGTGGATTCAGCACCCAAAATGTGTGGGAGTTTATCTGAATGCAAAAATCGAATAATAGTTCTCTTACATAAAGGAAAATTTTGCAGAGTTTTCACACTCCTGGGTAGTTTATTCCAAATAGCAATTGCATTTACAGAAAAGAACCGACGATATTTAACAGAACGCGCCAGAAGAAGAAATAAAAAGACCTCACGGTGACTGTTACATCGGGGGTAAGCATGATGTCTTAAAGTAGTGAGTGGGTTAAAGGTGCGATTATATAAAAACATAAATAGCAAAACTAGTCCGTTTTGTAATCTACGAAACCATAAAGGATCAAGGCCTGTCAGCCGGCAACTTTCTTGGTAAGACAATGTCGATGTTCCAAGGATAAGACTCTCTTGGTAAATAAATGTTGAACGGATTCTATTTTCTTCCGCTCAGCAGCACGCATGAGGCTAAATAAAAACGAACAGTATTCCAGGCCAGGTCTAACGTACATGTTATAAAGACGCATTCTAACGTCGTTAATCTTAAAGTTTTGGGGAATAAAGCCATGTGCCAGGTGCGGCACCACTGGGCACAGGCCTGCAGATCACTCTTTAGGTGTTCAAGCACCATGTCACTATCTGAAAATGTACGTCGAACATTTAACTGGAAGGCGTTCAAAAGAGGGGGGTTCTGTCCGTTGAAATTCAGTTGTAAATCTGTGAAGACGGAGATATTGCTGGTTGAAATCCAATACTTACAGGGGAGTTGTGGGGATGAGGTTTTCCTGCCCTTACCCTCTCGTCGCAGGTTGTGCAGACTTTCTCGTTGATTCCATTTTCAGAACGCCGTTTCTGTTCTGCCCTTAATTTGTGATATTTTTGAGGGAGGTAAGATATTGTCTGATGAAAAACAGTTGGCCGAATTGGTCCAATTTATTGAAAACCGGTCGCTAAATGTCTCGAAAGTTTTCTCCCGAAAAATACAAACTCAAAAAAAGACGCAGCATCCCATCCTCCGAGACGCTCTTGGAAATCCTATAGCTAATGCCCAGCTAACCGCTGATAGCTTCAATACTTTCCTGTCCAAAACGCTTATTGAAGCCTCGACCACTCCACTTCCAACCATCCAGGCATGAACCGGGGCAGTTCTCGAAAATATAACTTTCAATCTGTGGGATGTGACTGTTGCGATTCGGCGTTTTCGACAACCTCATAGCCCATGACCTGATGGTGTCCCAGTAAGCATTTTAAAACTCGATGCAAATACGATCTCCCCATCCATCGTATGCAAGATATTTAATCTCGCTCTTGAAAGTGAAACATATCCTACCATGTGGAAGGAATCACACATTTTGCCCATTCCTAAGCATGGCCAATCTACGTCATTTCATGACTTTCGGTCAATAGACACCATTGCCGCAGCTTCGAGGATCTTAGAGACATTGATCAAAGATACAATTATGTGTCACTTAACAGAGAATAACATACTGAGTGCTGCCCAGCATGGATTCTTCAAAGCTCAGTCTTGTGACACCTGTCAGCTCTCCTTCGATCATGTTCACCAATCTAGGGACAGTGGTTTTGCACTTCACAAAGCATATTTAGATTTCACTAGGGCTTTTGATCGTGTTGAACATGTTCTTCTTCTCTTCAAACTGTCCTCTTTAGGAATATGTGAGAAACTTACCTGTGCACTCGTACACAAAGAGTCATGATTTCCAATGCTATCTCCAACCCCACATGTATGAGAAGTGGAACTATTCAGGGGAGTGTACTCGGCCCACTTATATTTTGCCTTTTTGTCGAATATGTACTCGATGTATTTCAGACTGGTAAGCCCTTTATGTATGCCGAGGATCTGAAAGTTGCATATTGATATAAGCCGGCAGATAGTGACACAGTGCTTAAACACCTAAAGAGTGATCTACAGGCCTTTGCCCAGTGGTGCCGCACATAGCACCTTTCACTTTCTTGGCACAAATGCTCAGTCATGGTGGTTGGCGACGACCGCCAACCTCAAGTAAGTATTGACGGTCATGACATAAATGTGCCTATGGGTTATTAAGGATCTGGGTGTACCATATTTCAAGAGTTGTAATCATTTGGAACATTGCGTCCTGATAGTCTCCAAAGCACGTAGAACGACCGGCTTTATTCCCCAAAACTTTAAAATTAACGACGTTAGAATGCGCCTTTATAACATGTACGTTAGACCTGGCCTGGAATACTGTTCGTTTTTATTTAGCCTCATGCGTGCTGCTGAGCGGAAGAAAATAGAATCCGTTCAACATTTATTTACCAAGAGAGTCTTATCCTTGGAACATCGACATTGTCTTACCAAGAAAGTTGCCGGCTGACAGGCCTTGATCCTTTATGGTTTCGTAGATTACAAAACGGACTGGTTTTGCTATTTATGTTTTTATATAATCGCACCTTTAACCCACTCACTACCTTACGACATCATGCTTAACCCCGATGTAACAGTCACCGTGAGGTCTTTTTATTTCTTCTTCTGGCGCGTTCTGTTAAATATCGTCGGTTCTTTTCTGTAAATGCAATTGCTATTTGGAATAAACTACCCAGGAGTGTGAAAACTCTGCAAAATTTTCCTTTATGTAAGAGAACTATTATTCGATTTTTGCATTCAGATAAACTCCCACACATTTTGGGTGCTGAATCCACTGATCGACCATACCGTAGCGACGGCGTTTATGGCCTCTGATCTCTATAGGCAGTCTCACCAGGGACAATTTCTTTAGCCAACAGCGACAGCTGTTCTTTGATGCTTCTACTCGAACCAGCCACAACTTCGTGAAGAGAATTGGCGACTGACACTATCCGATACAGTGCTACCCCTCCCTTTCTTTTCTATCGGCATTTTATGGGCAGCAGTTTTTTCTTCTCCTGAACCCTCCAAACCATAAAAACCATCATCAACTATATTTTTATCCCTTTTCCGCCGGAGTTTTTTTCACTGATGGCCAGATTCGTGTTTAACGCTTTCCCGACAATGCCTGTAAACTGGCAATGAATAAAATTATTACTATTATTATTCTTATTATTTTTATTAGTACTGAACTATGTCTCCAAATAGATGAATCATTTTGAGGCCGCAAAATTTTGACCGAAATTTCAAATCGCGCGTCTGGTCGAAATGACTCATTTCCGTTCACTTCGGGCATCTTTGGTAACTGTCTTGGTGCACAACCCACCGTTGCATGTCCGGGTATGCTGTATCAACTTACAGTGTCAAATATCAAATTTCACCTTAAGAACCGACTAAGATAATCTCAAGGAAGTCACAGGAACTCTCACAAATATGGAATATATCACGCGGTGAAGATCTTTATTTTCGGCAAATATTTGGACAAAATCCTGTGCTAAATTACAAGAGCCACGGAAGGACAACCTGAAGGAATTTACGAGAGGAGTTCGCTACTAAATTCAAGAAGTGGTATTTGTGCTAACTCAGATAGCAAGGTTGACCTGGCACAATTTTTTGCGATTTCGAAGTTCCATTAACAGACCAGGACATCAAATATCCAGGCAGGTATTTTGATCAAAAACGCAATGTTTTCACAAGGGGTGTTCCTGGGTTCATTTTGCTGATTGCAAATGAAAAAACTGAAAATATTCGAATGTTGTACTTCAAGATGGGGAGGGTGCCAGTTTGTATAAAGCTCCCTAACTACGAATAGCAGATGCGTAGAAAGGACTGGCATGACCATGACTTCTTATAGTCATTCTTGAAAATCACGCCCAAGCTTTGCACTTCCTTGAAACGATAGTGCTCTGGGAAATTCAAACAAGGAGGTGTATTTTTCGCCGCATTACGCGCCGATGGAAATGCGAAAAATGGGGAAGTTCTGCGTAGAACTGAAGAGAAAGGCAGAACAAGGAGAAAGGGAGTAAAAATATAGGGGCGAAAGATGTCGCAGATTGGGCCATCGTTTCCAAAGCAAACTCCTTTTAAAATTCGGGTGGCCGCCACTCATAAGACTGCCATTGTAATTAGTGCGCTCGAACTTAGGAATTTTTTTAGTAACACGAATTAACTGATGACTAAATCGATTAGCGCACATCCCATGTTGTTGAGTTGACAGAATGTGGGTTTTCTGAAGCTATTGCAGAGGTTTATCAAAGGCAATGAACACTTCAAAAGAGACTCTAAGGCCGAAAGGGAAGACGTAACTAAAATTCGACCCCGGATTCCAGGCAGCATTCTGCAACATCGGAAATTGAAACTTTATCCCTATATATCTCCACCAATTTCTCCGAAACGCTAACAAATGCGATTGCATACCGTCTCCAAACCAGATTTTCGGATTCATAACTCTTCTCTTAAAGAAACTGAGAAAAACTCGTTTGAACAAGGATGAACTTAAGCAGAATGCTATTACCGACAAAGATAAGGGGGAGGGGAATATCCACTTCCGGCTTATTAGCCGTCGTCAACCAGTCATACCCAACCCCGAAGTGTAGAGCACGTGAAGCTCGATATAGCGACCCGTTAGTTAGAAGTCCAACGCCTCTAACCGCTGAACCACGGGCTCGTCCTGTTGGTTGCGATCGAAAATATACAATGATAGAGGGACACTCACCGATCGTTTCTACGAAACTCACTCGTTCCGTTGTGCCTTACGGGCTCTCTCTCTCTCTCGCTCGAGCCCAACCAGCGGCAGCACAGAGGCGGATGATTTGAGCAGAATGGCACTTCCGACAAAGCAGACTGGAGTGGCCATTTCCGGCTCATTAGCCGCCGTCGACTGACAGGTCGCGGGACCCAGTCCACGGCATTCAACACTTCGGGGTTGGGTATGATTGACTGACGACGGCTAATAAGCCAGGACTGGCCACTCCAGTCTCCCTTGTCTTTGTCGGCAATACCGTTCTACCAACATCATGCGCCGTCGTGCGGCTGCTGGTTGGCCTCGAGCGAGAACCCGTAAAGCACAACGGGACCCGTGAGTCCCGTATAAACGGTCAGTGAGCGCTCCTCCACCAACGATGAAGTTACAGATGGAGACTATAACGCCCTTTATATCGACTGGCAAGTTAGGCTGTCACCTTCGAATGAGTGGGTAAGTGCTACACTAAGTCCTTACATAGATTGCTGCCCATAGATTGAGTTTTAAAAGGCTAACGGCTAGGTGAGTGGTGTGGCCTTGACATCTGCATAGTTTATGGTACTGCATTCAATTGGCGAAGTAAGTTCTGTCTACGCGCATGTGTCTTACTCTCTTTCATCTGGTAGGTTTCCTAATTTTTCGGCCTTCTAACCCCCTTGCTTTCCGCGTGTTTTTTTCCAGGCCCTCACCTAACATGAAGTTAGCTATTGTAAGTCCATTTTTTGTTAATGTGCAGCTTAAACAGCAGTGGAGCAAAATAAAGCAATTTTAACTTAGGCAATAATAGATGCATTCCTGAACTACATTTGCTTTAAATAATCCAATTTGGCTGTCGCCACTACTTCTCACCATGACTTTGTATACAATAACACCATCTGACTGTAAAACGGCATCGAAAAACTTTGGATCGCATATACACCTCTTCAGAAAATTATATTTTAATCCCAGAAAGCAAATGCAGAGCTGTTTCTATTTGCCTCTGAGTCAAGTGGCTGTGACAGTAGACTGTGTCCTCAATTGCTAAGATCAGGAATTTTCTGGGTGCTTGAAGGCATGCCTTTCTATGCCTTTCTTTGGCCTTTCTTCATTTTATTCCTCAATTTCAATTAATCGACTGCAAACGCTAACGGTAGGACAACACAAGCTTATAGGATTATTCCTATTATTATGTAAAGTGTAACACATCCGATTTGGTCATCGAAACCCACAACAACGGTCTTCATGGAATTAATCATTGTTACTCTAGAAGATGTCTAATTAACCAAACCCATAAGTCAGTGAAAATGGTTATACGGTCTCTGTGTGTTTCCCGTCGACGATATGGATTCTCACATACGTATAAGCAAGTTTGTTGATATACTCTGCTTATAAGTAGCTGTTCCGTCACAAGTGCGTGACCTTATATCCCTAGCCAATCGCATGTTACTTGCGGCCATGCATAAAGATAATAAATAATTTTCGTGATTCATCAGAGATGTATGCAGTCGGCTGTGTCTGACTGCCATGGAAACTCAGTTCCACCCTTGCAGACCCTTTGCCTCCATGAATAAGGAAATGCAGCTTTTCCCGTAAACTAAATTATGAAGTTATAGGGGTTGTTATTTTGATGCAGGAATGTCATTTCAAGTATTTATGAGTCAGAGTTGTTTATGCCGTTTGTTTAAGGTTACTTCCTCTTTTTAGGTTACTGGAGCAAACAAAGGCATCGGTCATGGAATCGTCGAGCGTCTCGTAAAGTGTCTGACTCCATCATCAGACTGGCATGTCTATCTTACTGGTGAGACACCAGACCCCGGTCTGCTTTATAAAATCTGTTCACTTAGCTCGTAATGTGTCGTTGGGTCAAGCAGCGGCTGAGGAGTTCAACAAAGAGGGCTTACCTGTAAAGTTCCATCAGCTCGACATCACAGACAAGGAGAGCCGCGACAAGTTTGCAGATTACATCAAATCAACTTACCCCGACGGCATCAACATCCTCGTCAACAATGCAGGCATCGCCTTTAGTGTTGGTTTTCTCGAAACAGGGATGTAAAATACGCGCTTTTTTCTTTCAGAGTGATTTGTATGCCCACTCCGGCGAGCAGTCTCGAGTAATTTTTGCCACGAATTACTTTGCCACTGTGGAAATGTGTGACACATATTTGCCGTTGATGGCCAGAAACTCACGGTAATTGCTTTTGGTTTCGTGAAATTCTGGTATTTTCGTTTAGTCTGGTCAATGTTTCTAGTATGCTGTCGGTGACGGCACTCAAGCAACTAGGTGCGGAGCTTTACGAGAAGTTCGTGAGTCCAATGACCATGGAGCAGCTCAATGATCTCATGCATGACTTTATAAAGTAAGCTGATGCGAGTCACTGCTCGACACTTGGCGTCTATTTGTATTTACCCGTTAACGGAAGTCTCAGTAAGTTTTAGAAAGGTGCTTTTTGTGTGATTAAGGGCCACATGCTTATCTCGCAATTACAGTTGTATTTGGCCCTTTGATTGAGAACATACTGGTTGCTTTCTGTTATAAATTAGCTAATTTGGTGGTCGGCCGTTAAGCTTGCCTTGGACACAGCCAAGCCTTTGTTAAAGACTTCTAATATGATGTTATCTGGATCTGTGGAAGGATTATAAACCCTCGCATGGCCAGTTTGATCACTGCATTATCCTTTTAATTCATTATCACAGTTACTTTACCAGGAAGGCAACGAAAGTCGTCTCCAGAAACGCGAAGACGGTTTCGTTGTAGATAATTCGGTTGGTCAGATTTTCAATTTTTAGCAGTCCTTGTTCACCCATATCTCGTTATGCTTTGTATTTTTTTCCTTCACCGAACGCAGATGTTTGGGATACTTTTCTGGACTCCTCCAAAACTACGCGCGTCCAAATCCGCACACATGTATCACTTTTTATCCGCAACATAGCAATCGCTTAGTTCTTCTTGCCTTTTTGGTATCACTACTGATCGCTTTGCAACTGCCCTTAGCTGACTGCACTTGACTGACTCCCAAGGCGCAATGTAATGTACATGTCCCGTAGCATGAGCACCTCCCCTATAGTGTTAAATACTCTCGGTCACAACCAACAGAACAGCAAGCCCGTGCCTTATTGGTCTTCTTTTTTTCAGAATGATTTGTATGCCCATTCTGGCGAGAAATCTGGAGTCATTATTTCTACGAATTACGTCGCCACTGTGAAAATTTTCATCGAGCATTGAACATGCCCTGTAACATGGGCAGAGGTTGCCTCCCCTCGCTCACAACCAAAAGGACAGCAAGCCCATGTCTCATTTTTCTTCTTTCGGAATGATTTGTATGCTCGCTCTCTCCGGCTGACAATCTGGGGTCATTCACGACACAAATTACTTTGCCATCATGAAAATGTGTAACACAATTTTACCGTTGAGTGCCAAAGGCTCACAGTAATTTTACTTCGCTCCGTCAAATGTTTATGTTTTCCATTAGACTGGTAAATGTTTCTAACATGGTGCTGATGACGATGCTGAAGCAGCTTAGCGACGATCCTTACGAAAAGTTTTCGAAGTCAATGACGCTTGAACAACTCGATGATCTCATGCGTAACTTTAAAAGGAAAGTTTATGTGAATGAATGGGCAGTGGGTAGGGTCTGTTCGTATTTTGCAATTATCGGACGTTTTGTTATATTTTGGAGTGGTATTTTTTCGCGCGGTCAATGTTCAGCCGCCCTAATTTTATGAACTTACATAGCAGAGGGTTCGTTAAGGACCCCCATTCGGCATTATCTGAATTTTTGAACGACGCAATGACGATGTGGTCATTCAACTCCCCTGCTAATTCAATTTTGCTGCCGCTTTATCATAATGTTTATGAAAGTGGTCTTGTCATGCGCAAGAATTGGATATTCATTTGGATGATTGTTTCATTTTGAACAGGAAATCGGATTCGCAAACCTCTTGACCAACACATCTCCTGGCCCCCCAAATTACTTAGTGCCCATATATCTTTAGGCTTGTTTTTAACACCAGTCGTCCATATTTTTGGACGTTTATGCGGATTTCTCCATTATTGCCTGGTTGTGATTCTGCCTACAACTCTCAAATTTTTCTGTACAACGTAGCATTTGCATAGTTTCATTACCGGCCGCCTTGAGACTTCCTCGAGTCCACTTACCTAAGCTCCAATGGGCAGTGGGTGGAGTGTGCCCCGTAACCTGCTCGGAGAGCATCCTTTTCAGGCCACTGAATATTCTTGATCGCAACAGATAGGACCATGAACCCGTGGCCAAATAGTAGAGCACCGGACACATAAATTTTCTACAACTACATAATGTATATTCGGACCCATATCTGACAAACCAGAGATCGGGTGTTTTTTACTGACCACGGAAACCAATCAGCTGGAAATGGCCATTTTATTCTCCCTCGCCTGTGCCGGTATTCCTTTCTATATCATTGCTAAACGCAAACGGTGAGCATTAGTTAGTCGTTTGGTTTGCTGTCCGTTAGTTGTCTCTGTCCAAATTTCATTCACGCTGATGTTTCCGACGAATGAGGGCACACGGTAGCCCGCCCTTATCGGTGTTGCGAAGACTAAATTAGGATTTACCTTCAAGTCTATTTAAGTGATTCCGGCCAAGACGCCTTTGTTTTCCTCTCTATGTTTGAAAACTAGAAAATCGGAATCAGGAGACTTGGCTTCGGCTGGCTGGCCACTGACGGCCTACGGTGTCTCCAAACTCGGCCTCACGAAAGCAACTTTTATCCTGGCTGAACAGCTAAAGGATGATACACGCAGGATTCTCATAAATGCGGTGAGTATTGTTTATGGGAGGTGCCCTCCCCGGTAGGTTTAATTTCAACGCATACATCTTAGAGCCAAGTATTCTACTCCTGGCCAATCTGACCCTGTCTTAGCAAGCTAGATATTAGCTTCTTTATTCATTAGATTATATGCCAAACTTTCATTTCAACGCGTGTCATAGGTCCAAAAATTCCGCCCTATAATAAGAACCTCGTCTTATCGGCCTCATTGAGGCGACACTTTTGAGTTTAGGACGCCAACATTGAAATGAACTTCAGGCATGCCCACTCATTACTATTCTGCTTTATCCTAGGCGGTAGGTTTGGACGCCTTTTTATAGTCCTGGTTTTTCCTCACTGTACAACTTAGGACTTTATGTGTTCCTGACCAAGGCTGTCCACTAACTTCTTCAGCTATCCGCCTCGACTACTTTCTTCCGTGACTGAGCCACGTCAACTGTCATCCGTCGTCTGGGGTATCCTCATTATGTTGTTGCGACGGGCGGAGCTGTCCCTTCTGAGACGCAGTCAGCGTGTTTCACTCGAGGAATCGTTGTTTGTCAACGGTCGTAGGAAACCCCCAATCGTTATTCGCCTTCTGTCCACACATTACGGCACCCTAAATCTTAAAGGATAACTGACTGGGTGGCTGTCCAGTACGTGCCAGCAGTTGTGACGGTTGAGATAACGGACAGGGTCATGAGAACCTTTAAAGGCTTCCGAAACCTCCTGCGAGCAGCATCGATTCGGTCGGGGATATTCTCCTCCATCCGTTTGCCAGGCAAAAATTTGATCTAAGCCGCCTTAAACTGTTCAGGTAATTAGGCTAAAAAAACTTGATCTCAATCGGTGCCTGCTTCCGGTCGACGATGAAACTGTGGAGTGTTTTGGTTTTTGCAGCTGATTTAACGACCTCGTTCACCCGAAACACCACACTCTCTATGTTATCCTGTTCTGATGCTGGTAGGGAGATACCGCCGGAACATTCGAGGTCAGCCGACCACCTAGTTTAAAAAAAAACTTACATACTGCACGCGCGGTAGGCTTCCGTGATAGAGGTCGTCAAACGCATTGAGTTTCCACCTTCCAACCCCTTACTGCCCAGCTTTCAGCAGTAGGCTTCGTGTCTAACCATTTTGAATGCGGCATTGCTGATTTCGGGTTAATTCCAGAGGCCATTCTGGCAGTTGTAAATAGGAGCACAATGAACACACCATGAAATGCCGCTCATAGACTGCTACTGCATCAGTTTGCAACCACGGTGTTGAGAAACGGATTTCTATTCGAAGACTAAGTTTAGGGCGAATGAGAAGGTTGTCTCCTGGCTTACCTTAATTAGCCCTGTAGAATGTGAACCTTCATCGGCAAGTCCGGTGATAGGTAAGCAAACTGCTTTCTTGGTATGGCAGAGGGAAGTGAGAAATGCTCATGATCACGGTACATCAACGAGTTTACTCTGCCTGAGTCTGCATGCTTAAAAATTTCTTTTGCGAAATCGTCTAATTGCCCTTCTTCCTGATTTTTTTGGCATCCCTTGACCAAGTGTTGTCCTGGATACGTCGACACCGACATGACCAGTCACAAGGGTACGAAGACCATTTTAGAGGGTACGTTTACCGTCTGTTATTGTAAGTGTGAATCTCTGCACAAGTTTATCAGTTCGAAACTACATTTTGGTTATGCCACTCAGTCACTCAGCAGCATGCCTTCCATGAAATATAATTGAACTTTTAGGGGCTCGAAAATCAATGAGAAAAAGGCATGCTACTTAAGCAGTCATTTTTTACAGTGTAGTTTTTACATGCAGCCGGAAGGAAGTTCATTCGAAAGCCGGCATCCTGTGGTGATTTAAATATTATAGAATTATTTTACAGGCTGCCTAGATTTAAAATCCTGCTTAATTAATCTGTTCGAAACGAAAACGCATTTCGGAATAACGGTTGACAGTTCATGAGTTAGCCCACCTTCTGCATATTTGGCCTTTATCAGTAAACTATTTTGTTCGCAGATAAAAAAATTTTCTATGACCGCATATTTAGTACGGAAAGACATTCGGTTGTCCACTCCCACACTGACACCGTGCATACTGACAAATACTTTCAAGGCATGCGATTTAGCAGTTGCTTGTTGCCTTAAGATACGGGATTAGGGCCTCGGTTTTCCGTCGCAAGAAATACCGACAAGAAACGACTGCTATCTAATCCCCTGTCGTATGTAATCTACTAAAGTCTTTGAAATGAGTGCCCCTAAAGCTGTCTGGATAGTCAGTTAGCATCAGCAGACGGTCCTGTCTTCGTAGCCGCCCATATGTCTTATGCCTTTTTCCTGACGACAAATTTGTTTTGGACTTCTGAGCATGAGGCCTTGAGCATATGCAGGTCGTGCCTTCATGGTGGTTCTTTTTTCGGAGTAAAGTATGCCTTCGATGGTGCGGTTTTGCCTCAAGTTAGACCTTTCGACCGGCATACTGGACAGTTCATCGGCTTTTCAAATGTGGCCTGTGTTTCCATATGAGGTATACGATTCTAGACCGACACGCCATCCGGTCGGACTTTGTTACAAGCAAGGCAGCTAGTGACGGCGGCTCCAAAAAAATCGCCAATCGCTCTGCGGGTACCATGGTGATAGCAATAAACTTTGATACGGAAGAACTTGTCTATGCCGGTGACTCGGCCAGCATATTGTGGGATCAACGAAGTTGAGGAATCTCTCGGTACTTTCACATCGAGAACCAAGCCAAAAGCGGCCAGTCAGATGGCTGTAGAGTCACCAGGTCCAGTCCGACCGTTCTAGGCCCCGGCAACAATCAGTAGATCGCAACGAGGGATTCTGTCAACTAACGCTTGCAGCCACGAATAAGACGTCTCTTCATCGTGCTGTTCGGAAGCTCAAGTTGCCGCGTACACAGAGACGATAGAGATGTTTGTGAAGTGACCCTTCAGTCACACGTAGGCCATCCGGTCAATGACTGTTCCCCAAGTAAGTAAAGCGAAGTCCGATTGTCGTGAGGGAGCGATCGTCACATTGTGTCTACCAGAGGAGTTGTGTGGGCCGCTGTGGTATAGGGTGGAGTGTGAGTCGACTCCAGGGGTCTTTATTTCCCGGGAGTCTGAGTTAGGATGTCTAACTTCAGACAAACAGCAGGCATCCACGTTGTACTGATTAAGGCTGTGCGCGGCCAGGCTTTTGGTACCAAGATCCAGGCAAGTTCGCGAATTCCCGCATCCAATAAAAAGAGTCCGTCCCTGATTGCGTAATTCAGCTCGCATACTAAGTTGTCCTTATCGATGGCATGCTCCAACCTAAGATCAGCAAGGAGCCGGGGGAATACCTTGTTTGTGAGTACGTGAAAGTGTGAAGAGTTAGTGCTAATCAAGGCCGATGAGTGCCTCTTCTCTGAAAGTTACAGCATTGACGAAAAAACTGGAGTGTTGTCCAGTTTTCGAGCTAAAACACAAAACTGCGGAGTACTGGAGGTTTAAGAATGGGTAGATGCCCCATATCTGACGCTCTATTATATGTCAGATGACTTTCGGTGGCGATCATCCCGCAAGTATAGCCACGTTTGGAATGCATCATTAACGTTAGAAGATACCATACTAGCAGCACAGGTACTAACTAAAAGCTCATACACTCGTGTTTCGCCAACAATCTGCCGCTGCATGCAGTGGTACTTTTAAGGGAATTGATAGGACGTTCTAGACTAAGCTTGGCAATCTCAAAACTGTCTTTGACGATAACTCCCAGAAACCTCGCTACACGCAATACCTATCAGCAGTATACACTTGTTGCCTCCTTATGACCAAGCAATTCATGGAAGAAAACGTCTTTTGTTCTTGACTGTTGTCAAATACCATGTAATATTCCCGTCTTATGGCACACTCATTCTTTACACAACCTAGTCAACAGCCCATTGGTTTGTCAAATAGGGCCTGGGGGTTTGAGTGAACCACAGTGTCCGCTGCCCAGACTTGCAGTTCCAGAGTTGTCTGCTGGGCAGCTGCTACCACGTTGTGTGCGCCAGAAATCGCCTTTCGGCTCATTTCCTGTTTTCTGCCCGTGTTCGTAGTGAGTGGAACTGCAATCTCAAAGTTTCGCATATTGTTTGGCACTGTGTTTGGTACTAACGCAGCATGGCCTAACAACTAGGCCATCTGAAGCGGTGGTTGGTTAACCAACTGTCGGATGGCTGTGCAACTTCACTAAGGCCTCAGTTGTGCCATAATCAATTAAGGCCCCGACATTTAACCACCACAGTCGGACACCGGTAACGTCGGTTCTGACCTCAGCTGTCAACCACCGTCCCTGCGTTCACGTGTGGTCCAGAGGGCCAAACGACGGGGTCAAGACAGAAACTGAATCAGAATAAGTGCGAACAACGCATCCGAAGTGAGAACACCTAGCTCACGGCCACCCCTGGTGGTATTGGCATTATGAAGAGTAGAATTGGCGTAGGGGGTAGAAGTATAAAGCGGAAGGGAATTTCGAGTGGGTTAATTGGGTCGCGCAATTATGGCCCCCTGTCAACGTGATAATGACTGCTTAAACTTTGAAAACGTTGTTTCTTTGAGGTATAGCAAACTAATCGGGTTTTAAAAGATCGAATCCAGCAGGGAGATGAATATCAAGAGAAAGTAAAGGAAGGTTCGCAAGGCTAATGCTCAAAACAACCGCACACCAGAATACAATGCCCATTAGGTGGTGAAACCAAATACTCGCACAAATACATCCAAAACTCGGATATAAACCCTACCAGATATGTAGAATGTTTGTAACAGCCTTGACCTGACTGAAATATCCAGAGCAGGAGGACTGGGCTTGCGGGCACACTCCCAGCTGCCTGTGGCGAACTCGGCGACTCCTGTACCAACATTGTCTATTACAATTCTGTAGTCCATGTGGAAGAAGGAGAACGATGACGGTGTTGTGGATCGCCAAGTATGGTGAACACCAAGTCATCATTAGAAGGGCTTTGTTAATTACACTCCCGTTTAGGAGTATCGGCGAATGATAAAAAGCCGCCCTTCATCGCACAGCCCTCCCTCCCGCAAACTTACTTTTAAGCTAGCATTGCGGAACCGAAGACACTGCTGGGCGACTTCACACCGACAGATATATCCTCCATCAAGAAAGGCGAAATTCACGAAGGAGTGTACAACAGCTCACCTCGATTACCATGTTACCCCCCAGAGAAAGTCCAGGACTAAGTGCTGCAGTCTGCCGTTAACATGCATTCCAGTATAATCAGCCACGTTGCTCTAATACGGGAAGGCGTAGTCTCTGCACGACGCTGACACTTAAGATCGAAGTATTTGATCGCTGAGTCCTCCGTTGGATATTTCGTCTGATGAACCATGCCTCGAATTTGGATCTTATTTTGGCAACATCTATTGATGGCACCATGAAGTGGAGGTCCCTAGTTTTAGCATATTCGGACACGCCCGACCTGAAGGGCAGGGAGCGTCTGCGACTTAAGTTTTCCGAACGCCTGTCCTACTTGTTGTTGCCGCCATTGTGATTGGCTAAAGCAACCCATGCTTCCCTAAATACCTTCCGCAAAGAAGTGGCTCTTACGATGTTGAGAGGAGCAACTTCTGCTTTAAACTTTAAAATTGACCAAGTATTTCTAACGGTAGCTGGAAAGCCGCTCTCGGTATCAACACGCTTGATTACCAGACCCTCCACACTTTTTGTCGTATTAAAGACAAATAAAGCGTGTAGTTAGTAGATTAGGAACGTTTCCGGTCTTCTCAACTCTGTCTTGACACCGCGTCCAGGTGGGGAGTGGGGAAGAGAGGGTGCGCTAGACGCTTCGAAAGTCTGCATTCACTGCAAACTAATTCACGTGCAGGTCACCAGGTCTGCTTCAGTATGACAAACGGTGGTCATCCTAGGCAACGACGGTCGAGCTGTCGGTGTGTGTGTACGTTTAACCCATAAAATTGGCCAGGCGGTATATCTGTTGGGTCAAAACGAGGGCCAGACAGGGATTCTACATGCGTAGTTGGCGGCTCACCCATAAGCAAATGCTAACATTGTGGGTGTGGTGGCGCGACTAGGTGCAGACACACGGCGAGCCAATTGGGATCCAAGTCACCCCCCTTCCCTTTGTTGTTTCACAAACTCCTGGTCAGTTTACGTTGTGGAGCAGCGAGTGTATTCGTACGCCTAGGTGCAGGTTTTCGCCGTGCCAGCCACCTGCGTCCTGTCCCGTCTCCAGTTTTCTCGAGTCCGCATGACATCAGGTCCAGGTGGGTGGGGGAGGAGAGAGTGCAGGAAATGCAGCGCAAACCAGCTATCACTATAAAGGTCATGGGCAACCCTCCGCCCCCGCTCTCAGTCTGCTGTAGAGCGCTTGGTGGACATCCTCAGTAACGACAGTCAGACCGTCGTGGCTCCAGCCCGTCACAATACCTGTTGTTCAGACCATCAGTGCCAGAGCCGCTTGATCGGAAACCACTACAACTTTGCGCGTATTGTCTCTGCATTTCCCAATTAGTTTCTATTTTTCCATCCACGGCCTCCTCGATCGATCGAACTGAAGAGTTTCCAAGTGTGGCCTATTATTTGGCGTTGTGTCAAGCGCTGATGCATTATCGGTTAGTAACTAAGCCGTCCGATGTGGTGGTTGATTGACTAACCGCTAGGTGACCGTTTCATCCGGGTATCAGCTGTGCCAAAAGCTTTTTGGTGTCTGACAGTAACCCTCATAATCTGCTCTCGGTGGCTTCAGGTTCGGTCGCTGTTGCTCGGTTTCGCGCTCAAGTGGGCTCAGCTGTCAGACGCCCTCTCGCTGCATCGATCTGCCTCTGGCATCGCTTTTGAGCCAGAAGGCCAGACGAGGTGTGGACGACACATTCGGGACGAGATTGGCTAGTTACGGCACGCACGGTTTTTCGCATGATCGAAATTGTGATCACAGAATGGATACCATGAAGAACTGGATGGGTGCAAACGTTAGAATTTTCATGTAGGATGCTTCGAGAGGGGACACATTTGACCCCCTGCCAGTGTGGCAGTGTCTACGTGAAACATTTTATGGTGATTGATTAGCAAAAGGTGCTTTCGAGCACTGAAATAAATCTTGATGGAAAGCGGAGTAAAACTGACAGTCATAGGCCGACCAGTCCAAAATCGCCACAAAAAATGAGAGATGTCCACTCTATTGTGGAGCGAATTCCTCGCACAAAGGAATCGCAAATGCGGGTTACGATATCACCAGCAGATGCGCGTAATCATGGCATTGCCAAGAACGGCACCATTGAGAGCATATAACCTTTGCGGTTTGTACTTAGCAGCTATAACATGCAAAAATGTCCAAGGCGGGAGAGTGGGAGCCCACAAGCATTCTGCCAGCTCTCGCTGGCAACGATGGCGACTCCTCCGCCTCAACTGGCTGTTGCAACTTTGCTGTTAATATCAAAGGACGGAAAGGACGCTGGCGTTATTAACGGTGAGCGTTTGAAGCAGACCAGCTATGCTGAACACTAATCGACTCAATCTAGTTATGTTCTGCTGATAACAACGAAACATCGGAGTTATATGTTCTCGGAAATATGCCGACAGTTCACTGGAAGAAATTCCGAACGGGAAAAAAGTTTGCTTTAGGGGCACTTGAGCAAAACTCAGCATCCATGTATTTGCCTCCGTGTCCGGAAGCGGCAAATCGATCTGCAAATTCAGGGCATGCTCATATGTAACGCAGTGGCAATCGGTTACAGCTGCGCATTGTACGCGCATCCATCAATAAATCTGCTGCGCAGTTGACGTTTTTCCTTAGATTCTTCGATAAATCGTTAAAAGCAGCTGTGCGCCGGCATCCGCAAGTACGGTACATGACAAAGTAATTAAAAATCCTCCCACAGATGTCCTCTTTGTGATCTAGCGCACGCTTAGATACATGAGCTGGTGGATAGCAGATTGTCACCCAGATACAACGATCTTGACGGATATTCGCCAGGGGGGTTACTAATGGCCTAACCCAATTTTCCCATTTTCTCAAATATTCGCAGATGGATGTGATAACAGCGATCTACTCATCTTCAAGTTGCTCTCTCGCTTTGATTTCTTTGCCGCATATTTCTGTCAACCAGTGTTACCTTAACGCAGCCCTCCATTTTCAGGTGCAGAGACTCCCGCTTACTTGGCCACCCTGCCGGAGGGTGCGACAGAACCTTACGGCCAAATGATCAGCGATTGCAAGCCCGTGCCATGGTCAAAGTAGTGATCCAACTGCTGACATTTTTCTAATTTTGCATCCGGCACTTGTGTGCTATTTGCTTTTATTGTCAGGTACTGTTTGGATGTATCCATCTTTTTCAGTAACCGTCTTGCATACCCCGTCTTGTTGAAGCCCATCTGCGTCCCTTCATGAGCCTCGAAGCTTGACAATCTGGCCGAGCTAATGTTAACGGGTCTGGTCCTTCTTTAACTGTGCTTGTAAACTGATAAACAGTCCCGAAATCCGCGCTCATTTCTGATCGGAGGATGGGCTCTCCACATTACAGGTGGTCTAACGTTAAATTCCAGGGGAGACACCTATTCCCGTGTCTTAACAGTACTCCTTGCCCTCCTAATCTCCCACTAATTATCCTAACCCATCTAGAACAGCAGGGCCACGTGCAAAAGGGGTAGTCCATATTCCTATTTTCAACGTTTTTATCTACTTTATGCCAGGATTTATGCTAGTTCTGGGCGTTCTCAGTCGGAACAGAGCTGTCTGGAGCAGTGAATCTCATTCTTACGTTTGCCAGGTGTCGGTTACTGTATGTAAAGCTTTGCGAACTCTTCGGGCACCTTCATGCATAACTTGGTTGACTGTAATCCAGGATGGAAAACCGCTCGGTTTTGGTTCTATCCGAACACTTCAACGATTAGTAACATTTCAACGCAGTCGCAGTTTTGTATGAGATTGCAGGGTTCAAGCTTGTGTTCTCGTTACCCAGGAGAAGCAGACAGTGGTTTTAGTGTTGAAAGACAGTTGAGGAGTTCAGAGATCTAGTGGTTGTCTCATAGCTCATATTAGGTTTATCTGAGTCATTTCCATTTACGACTTGGAACGTGGAATAACCCATCTTAGTTTTGCTACATCTTCAAGTTCCTGACTTAAGTCTGCCTGGGTCGACTTGTGGCGGACAAGGGTGTGAGATCAACTTAAACCACGCGCAATAAGTTCGTTCCGTCTAATGTCAGAAGTCTGGGAGCTATGAGGACTAATTTATTCTGTACACAGGGCAGGTTGCCGTAAGTTGGCCGTTTGCTTGCAACACAGATAAGCGTCCGTTCACGGAGAGCGTCAGTCGCGGTGTGTAGTTTACGCGAGGATGAATGTCTGTGTCAGTAGGTAGGGGTGACTGGTTGAGTGCTGGTCATGAGATTGGACGGATTAGGGGGACGCATAATCACAGGGGCTCAGGGGTATCAAGCCAGGTCGTCCGACGCGCGTGAGGTGATAATAGTTTGTGAGTGCAGCCGGGAGTCACTGCAGCGAAACAGGAGGAGCCCCAGTTCTAGCCGGCGGGGGTGGTCGCGTGTCAACGGCCTGTCAACAATTATCGCTGCCATCGACCGATAAAACCGAGCTGAAGAAAAGGGGGACTGGAGCGGCTTCTACAGACTGTCACACGTTTGTGTCGCACAGTTTGTCTGAAGTGTCCATGCTATTATGGCACGTCCTTAGTCTGTCCTCTACAGTTGTCATGTAGACTATTTAATAATTGATGATGCTTGGTATTCCTAGGACGTTTGTTTCGGATGAACCATTGCTACTGTAGGCATTTCCAGCAGGCAATCAAGTCCGTTACTGTCCATCAAACCGCCGGAAAGTGTCCGACGCGTAAAACCAAATAGCAGAACCGAAACAAAGGCAGCTAATCTGCCCCTTCGTGAGTCTGCACTCCTCTCTTTGCGAAGAAGAGGGATCATAGGCGCTGGCGTCATGCGGTTGATAAAGTTTTGGAACTGAGTAGTGTGGGCTAACCGCCGTACGTTCAGGTTGCGCAATTTGTCATAAACACCAGAGTTTTTATGGAACACCTCTAGCTCGTCCTCACTTTTGCTGCCGTCACCCGTTCTGCGGTGGACGATTGCACTTAGTCCTCATCCGAAGTTGTTTTGGATAAACTCTTGTTAGTAGATTGAAGCAGTGTTTTCCCGGGATAAATTTGAACAAGGCGAAGGCGACAAAGCATGCAGAATTTAATGACGTCATAAATTTCGAGACCTCTCATTCAGCTGCACACGGTCATTGCATAGTTATATTACAAGGCAAAACTGTTCAATCAACGATCGACCTAGAGAGCTAAAACGTGATAGGTAACCTGAAACATGGGTCGAATCGATCGAGCATGAGAAGAATGACACACTGCCTTTCCTGGATATTCTTGTACGTAGGCGAGCAGATGGCTCTATTCAGAGATCCATCTATCGAAAACCCACCTGGAAAGGACAATACATGCACTTCATCAGTTTCGTTCCAATTCAGAGAAAACGGAACTTGGTTTTGTGCCTGTTCAATAGAGCCACCAGAATCTGCTCCTCAGATACGATCGATGGCGAGATTACTTTCCTAAAAAACGTTTTTCTTGCAAACGGGTATCCGGAGAAATTCATCGATAAATATCGCCATCCCAGACAAGAAACTCCTGAAGAAATATCTGTACCTAAAAAGTCCGTGACCATCTACCTCCCCTTCAAGGGTAATAATGTGTCAAACGTGATCAAGCGACGACTTAGGTGCACTATCGAAAGGACGTATGCCGCCTCTAAATTGTTGTTCATAAGTACCACAACCGCCATCCCAGTTAGACCAGCTAAAGACATTTTGCCTATGCACGCCACATCAAACTGTATTTATGAGTTTACATGTAGTTGCGGATGCAAGTACATCGGGCGCACGCAAAGGCAATTGGCAGCTCGGTCAGCTGAACACATGCCGAAATGGCGGCTTAAAGCGGAAAATAAGGTACCCAGGAGCTCAATCACAAAGCACCTATTGGACACGGGCCATACGGAGGACCAAATGGTTGCATTCAAGGTCCTGTTTCGGGCGACGACCGGGCGTCTCTTGCGCTTTGCAGAGGCTGCTGCAATACGGAGGAGGAAACCAGAACTCTGTAAGCAGCTGGACCATGTGATAAACCTGGCACTGCCATGGTAATTATCGATTATGGACGAAACCCTGTTCCCATTTCCGCCCTCTCATTTTGCCCCCCACCCGCCCCTCCCTCTCCCGGCATGACTGAATGCTCCCCGCACGTTGCACTCCAAATCATGCCGCACCAGTTCTCTCATACTTGGATGACTTCTCTCCCCCTCCCCCCCTCACCATATGCACCCGCATACTAGACCCATGTTTCAGGTTACCTATCACGTTTTAGCTCTCTAGGTCGATCGTTGATTGAACAGTTTTGCCTTGTAATATAACTATGCAATGACCGTGTGCAGCTGAATGAGAGGTCTCGAAATTTATGACGTCATTAAATTCTGCATGTTTTGTCGCCTTCGCCTTGCTCAAACTCTTGTTACTTTAATTAATTTCAGTAGGCGGTGCAGTTCGTTATTAGCAGTCTATCTGCTGGACTGCCTGGTGCGCATATCCAGATGGCTGACTCGAAATGAAAGCAGGTAATGTGCATCTTCGTAAGCACAGTACTCATGCTGGTTGAGTACCAACATGCCCCTCTTTCCGAAGAAGGTGACTGATGCTGGATGGCGCCACACAACTGATAGATGTTTGTGAACTGATTAATGTCGCATCACTTGCCCACATTCGCGCAGCACCAGTCTGTTTTTTAATCGGACTGGCTGGAAATTATCGGAAAGGGGGTCAGGCTTCGGCCAACGACGAGGATTTATGATTGTCATACGAACGCCAAGATTAGGAGTAATCTACGTGTGAGGAGGGAAAACGATGTATGACGACCTGTTAATGCACATCATCAGGTCACAAGGAGCTTCTAGCCAATAACGTGGGCTGGTTCTCGACAGCTTTTTCGGTGGAGTTTGTCGTCCTGGACTTTACAGTTAGGCGTGTGGGTCATAGGAGTTTGTGTTTCCATCATTTTAGAGTTCATCATTTTTCGGTGAAAGCTTTCTCATACCACCACGGTCGATATTAAAATGACGAAATTCAAATAGAAAGAAGAATAACTAGGCTGTAGGCGAATCACGGTTGCATATCTTATCTCAGTTTCTGTTTTTTTTTCGCGTCACACGTCAGAATCCATGCCAAGGGTGGTATAGCCAATTGTTGATACTCTGAACTAGAGTAGGAGACACGACGGGGGTAATGCTGGTTTGAACAGACTGACTTCGCGACAATTAGGCCAGACTGAATGTGCTCAGCAGTGCTGCTCAAAGTCCAGTTGACGAAGTTCCTAACCCCCATAAAAGGTCACCGTACTCTAGTATGGACATCAATAACAAAATAGAGCATGCGGAAGGAACGTCCTTAACCTAAAGCATTTCTCTTATGCGCGACCAGCAAAAGTTATAAGCATTAAGGGGGTGAATACGGGCACCTATATATACAGTAAGTGGGCTAACTCATGAAATCTCAACAGAAATCCCGAAAAGCGTTCCCGTTTGGAAAAGATTTTTAAGTAGGGTTGTAGAACCAATCATCGTGCAGCATAATTCTATAATAATTCAGTTACCTGAGGACGCCGGCTTTCGAACAAACTTCTTTTTTACTGCATCCAAAAAGCGTACTCCGTAAAAAATGGCTACTTAAGTAGCATGCAATTTTTTTCATTGATTTTCGATGTCCTTAAAGATTCAACCATATTTCATGGACAGCACGAGTAAAAATATGTATTCTTTCGCTCATTCAGTAGAAAATTACGTCTTATTTTAATTTTACACTCGAAGGAGGGGTTTAGTTTGGTTTTATAAAATTTTTCCAACTGCCAAATAATTTTGAACCCAACCTGCGTTTACACTTGCATTCGGGATTTCCAAACTACAAGCCGTATAATTTCCGAGAACGAAAACCCATAAATTTCTCTACGGTAATAAGGGGGACCATATAGGGTTCATAAAATTAAGCAGTGGATTTGAGTCACAATGGTAAATGCAGAGACATGACGTTTTATGAAGGACCATTTCATGGTATTAAAAAATCTCACAATTAGAAACTTTTTAAACCGAATTATACCCTCCTTTCGAGTGTAAAATTGAAAGAAGACGTAGTTTTCTACTGAATGAGCAAAAGAAGGAGTATTT